CCCCAATTCAACACATTAATAGTAATGAGTGTGTGAGAAAAAGAAAGCTGTGAAACAGCGATCGTCATGCGTGACGGTTGAACCCGGGTATGAAGGTTGAATTTTTTCGGAGGCGACTATTAAATTAATAAATAAAGAACCACGGCTGTGGTGCAGGACTGTCTGTAGGACTATATGTTGAAATACCGACAGGTAGGGCGTAGGACTGTCTGCAAGCGTATTGTTTAAAAGCCGGCAGGTAGGTCTGTAAGACTATTGTTTAAAGACCAGCAGTTAGGGTGTGGGACTGGCTGTTGGGCCACTGTTTCAAGGCCGGAAGGTAGGGTATAGGACCGTTTGTAAGACTATTGTTTAAAGGCTGGCAGGTTGGTTGTTGTGCTGTCGTAGGCCTATTTATAGATAATGAGAAGTTAACTAATTCACCCAAAATACCCGGACCCGCTGTTAAAAAAACTGCACCCGGTTAAGCCCTGTTCTTACACCACCGTATGCTACGGCGGGCATTAACTAGTTTATATTATTCCGTCCCCGTTTTGGTTCGAGATTTTAATTTACCGACAGGATGTTTATTTTCGAACCACCTGCTACCGGCAGACGTTTTAAACGAGGCTGAGGCTGTTCGGACCAGGGTCACTTCAGGCTAAATGGCTATTCGGATGTCATATTTGGTAGTTTATTTTAGTTAAACTGAAAAAGTACGTTTACAAAGATTTAGTCCATTCAATTATCTTTCATTTGATACCAAAATTTTTCTTACAAACCGAACAATAATATTTTAAATAGTTTTTAATAAACTCAACCTCTCACTCTTCCTGGTCCGAATAGACACTCGTTAACAAAAAACAAAACAACGAGCTGTTAATTTATTTACATTTAATTTACAAGCTAGTTTCAAAATTGTAAAGCTTGTTTACCATGGCAACAAGTGACTAGATTGCTAAAGGCATATAAGTAATTGGAAGTGTAATTATTATTCAGTTTCTGTGCACTGTGTTCTTGGATGCATTTTTCTTATTATTGGAATTGGACACTATTTAAATTTGGAAAACACCAAGTAAGTTGTCACATTTATATATTTTTAAAAGTGTTTTTCTGTTGTAAGTACTATTTTAACAATTAACACATTCTTACCAAAAATTAAATTTACGAATGTTTTGCGTTTTGTTTCACCTAAAAAATGGTTTATTACTCATTAGGATATGTCTATACTATAATTAAGAAAACTGCAGCAGAATTTGTACAAAGTTAAGTTACTGAGTTACTGTTAACATAATAGCCTAAAACTATACATGCAAATGAGTAAATATGACCTAAATTTAAATCATCTTTTTCAATCTATTTTTCTGGTAGTTAAAAAAAAATTCAATATCCAAAAGTGGCCATCACAAAAAGACAAAAGTGGGAGTTTAATAATAACAAACTTTCCAAAATATTTCAAAGTTTTACTAAATAAAGAAATGAAAAAAATTACTGATTTTAATTTGAAAAAAAAAAATCTAGATATCATTAATTAATAATCAAAGGCTATTTTAAACTGGTCATTGTTATGAAAAGTATAAATATTAAGATTCATGAAAATGGTTTCATTTAATTTTTTCTCCACATCACAAATTGGGGCCCCTTGACAATCCTAGCACCCCCCTCCCCACTCCCTGCATCCGCAACGGCTCTAGTTGACCAAAACAAAATATAGCTTTACGGCCTTAATTACCTAGTCAATTCTTCGAGGGGTCAATTGACTTATCAAATAAAAATAAAGACAAAATAATGAAGAAACTAAGTAAGATTGACTCTGCTTAAACAATCTTAATGCAGTTCATTTTCGTCTACTTGTAAATGTAGTCTATAGTCACTAGTCACTTTGGCAAATCTGTTGGGCACAGTTCACACGCTCAAATTTTCGTTGAATTTTTAGATTTAGAACGTAATTTTACACACACAATAATAATGCGTTCATTAAAATATTTGACGAAAATTTGATCGTGTGAACTAAGCATAATGAACATCTACAACAAAATACGTGGTGCACGTGCATCGTGGTAGTATCGATAGAATTTCACGATGCGTTGGCGTATTTTAAACCGATATCCGCGGCTCATTTACAAACTTTCAGCCTTGTGGCAAATCTTCTGGCTGTTTCAATATGATTTTTAGACGTTTCCCAATTTTGTTATAATTTTGGTGGACCGGTGGATAAGTTTCGGAACTGCACCCGGGCGCGGTGCCAGAGTTATCAATTATTATTTTCTTTTTATTTTGACCGTCATTATGCATGTTGTGCCGACCGACAACGTAAGATCTGGGGACTGGTGATGGCCCACCGACAATCGTGGGGGTGGGAGAGAACGCTGGCTCAAATCACCTTATGTTTTTTTTTTTCGAATTAAAAATTACAAAATTTTTATGAAATACCCCCCTCACCCTCAAAAAAAAANTGTATCAATTATAATTATATTAAAACTAAAAAGAAAAATAATCATCCTACGTGCTTTCCATTAATCCTAGATATCATGGAAGACCAACTGTATGATCAGTTTTACAATTTAATTTTGCTACACAACGTATACCCAAAGTGGATCCACGACCTACCTCACGCTCTGAATCACTAACTGAGTCACTCATTCCCTCAATGACTCACTCCCTCACTGAATAACCAACGCACACATTCTGGTGAAGGTCTGAGATCACCCTCTTATGACCCCGACTACCAGCTCCATCTGCTGAGCCATACAACATTTTCCTCACGTAGGGCGCTACAACCGCCCTGGCTTCCCCCGGGGCATCTAGTGAGGGACACTCGGTCAACAGGTGCGCTAGTGTCTTCGGGACCAGGCTGCAATGCCCGATTCAATCAATCACTCACTCACTCACTAAGTCACTCCCTGACTCACTTACTCATTGCCTCACTGACTCACTCGCTGAATCACTCGCTGACTCACTCACTGACTCACATACTGACTCTCCCACTCACTGATTCATTGACTCACTGACTCACTCAGCCACTGACTCACTCACTTATTTACTTATGCCTTTTGGACCGTCTGGGCCATAGGCCGTCTACAAAAATTGTCCATTCATCTCCGTCATGTTCTTTCCTTTCAGTTGCTTCCAGGTGTATCCCATACTTTGTTTGCCTGCCTCTTGCTGGCGCGTCCATGTATTCTTAGGCCTTCCTCTCGTTCTTTCCCCCCGTGGATTCCATGTTCGGTATTGTCTGGTGATGTTATCTTGGGGTTCTCGGTGAGTATGCCCTATCCACTCCATCTTTTCCTTATGCTGTCTTCGGCAACAGGCTCCTGGTATGTCCTTTACTGTAATTCTTTTGTTACTTACCCAACCTCCCACGCGTATTTCTAGAGAAAAAAAAAGTGTCACGCCTCTGTTTGGCCATCCGAGTAATTTCCATAATATGCGCCGCGTCGCTCTGTGTGCCACACTGCCTCGGGCAGAGCCACACGAAGGGGGCCAAGAGGGCAGCCACAACGAGCGCCAACATCATGGGGGACCAAAGTCGTCTTTAGTTAACATGTTAATGGTGAATTAAAATATAAAATGCCATATGCTTCAGAAAGACAAGGGGGCGCCATAAAACGTCTTTTTACTGGTCCGCCCCCGGGGGGGGGGGGCCGAGGCGTTTTTTTTAATAAACAATAAGTGGCTCCATTTTCCTCAGCATGGATCGCCGGCAAAAAGTCAATAACAAAAATGACTGCTTGCTCCATCGTTGATATCAAGAAAACAGCACCTTATGCATCGTTTGGGTTCAAAGATGGAACCGCGCTGGATTGCATTGTTCTGAGTTGGGGAATCCTTG